GTGTTAAAAAATTGGAAAAAGGTTGGCCTAGTGATTCTTCATATGACAAGGATAAGATATTTTGTGATATTGCAACTTTGCGAGGTCTGATAGATAGCATTATTGGAAACTTCATGGTCGTCCTCAATAAGGATATAGAGGAGGTCACACTAGTGGCAGAGGTGGATCTTGTGCTCATCGTACCATTGTTTATCAACCTACTGCTACCGAGCTTGTCTCATCTGTTCCTGTTGCTGGTGGTTCCTCATCTGAATCTGTGGTTCTTACCAAGGAAGAAGTGGAAACCTTTCGTCGCCTTATGTTATAGATGGGTGCCTCATCCTTTACATTTTCTTTTGCCCATTAATGTAATGCTTCTACTACGTTGAGTGCTTCTTGTTAGCATTCTTCCCTTCTCTGGATCATTGATTCTGGGGCCTATGATCATATGACTAGTTGTATGTTATTAGAAAAAGCTAATACCCTAGCGAATTATGTATTGGTACGCATGTTCTGAAATATAATACACTTTCGTTTCAAAACAGTAAATTTAGTATTCCAAAGCGATTCCAAAAGTTTTTTTTTCAATATATGTCCTTAAATGTTACCTTAGGAGGAAAAAATTCAAATATAACAAACTAAAATATAAGGTGAGTTAAGTTTTGACAAAAAATAAAAAAATGGGTCATAATGTTCATAGAAAATATTACATTTTATTGGATGTTTAATAGTTGAAATTTTTTTTTACCTTAAATACTTAAGTATAATATGTACAAGTTTACACCTATCGTACTACATTTTAGAACACGTGGCGTACCGTGTACCACGTTCCCGTTCCCGTTCCCGTTCCACATACTGAAACGATCCACATTCCAGGTAACATAGGATTGTTTTATCCAATTTTCTCTTCATATACTATATATTTAGGACAATTTTAAATTGTTGATGGTTCTCTCCCCTACGTGTCTGGCAAATGTTCAGATTTTGTTACTCCATCCATGCCTCTCTATTTTGTTTTGCATGTTCCTAATCTTTCGTCTTTTCTCTGTATGTAGTCTAACCAAACAACTAAATTGTTGTGTGATCTTTTCCACTCATTGTGTTTTCCACTATCTTATCACGAGGTGGATGATTGGTAGTGGTGAGGAGAGGGGAAGGCCTTTACTTTTTGGATTCTTAGTGGATAGATGGAGATCAAGTTAAGTAGGCTCACCAGTCTGTGACATGCTACTTCTGAGGAGAAGCTTTGGTTTCTACATAGGAGATTAGGACGTCCTTCATTTCTGTTGTTACAAAAACTTTTTCCCTTTTATTTTCTCAGTTAAGACATTTCTAAATTTTTTTGTGAACCTTGTGAACTTACTAAACACCATCGAGTGTCTTTTCCTCTTAATAATAATAGAAGCTCTTCTCCTTTTAGTATTATTCATACCGATGTCGGGGGTCCTATTATGGTTTTCTATGAGTGTTCCCTAGGTTCATTAGGCTGATGATGTTCTGACAGTTGCTTATCTCATTAATCACATGCCTTCGAGGGTCCTTAGGTTCAAATTGCCTGTTGAGGTTCTGTAGCCTTTCTCCGTCTCCACTTTTTCCACTCAAATCTTAGTTTGTACTCATGTATTTGATTGTGTTTGTTATGTCTATGTCCCTCAGCGTCTCCGGAGTAAGCTTGATACAAGTGCGACCAAATGCATATTTATTGGTTATTCTCCCACTCAAAAGGGTTACTAGCGTTATCATCCTTCTTTGAGCAAGCGGTTTGTCTCCATAAATGTCACTTTTTATGAGACTATGTCGAATTACCCTCTTGTGACTTCTCATCATGGGGAGCAATTGCATGAAGATCTGTCTTTGCCTGTGTTACCATATGTGCTTGTAGATCCATTGGATCAAGGTTCTAAGGAACCAGAGTAGGAGACATCTATGGAAAAAGAACTTGGACATGATCATGAGGAGTTGAAAGTCTATTCGAGAAGATAGAAGAATAAGATTGCCTCTTTTCCACTCACTTGCTAATCAGATTCTGCTAACTCAAGTAATCCTAGTTTTGTTTCTATTTGTGAACTCTCTGATTCCAATCTTGATCCTAATTCTAACTCTGATCTTCATATTCCTATTGCTCTTCGTAAAGGTGTGAGATCATGTACTTAATTATCATATTTCTAATTTTGTTTCCTCGTATCATCTCTCATCCGTGCTTTTGCATCCCAAATATCTTTTATGTCCATTCCACAAAATTTCGAGGAAGCACTTAAGGATCCCAAGTGGAAAAAGGCAATGTGCAAAGATATGCATGCTCTATAGAAGAATGATACTTGGGAGTTGGTAAAATTACTTGAAGGAAAAAAACCAATTGGATGTAAGTGGTTGTTCACGGTGAAACATAAAGCATATGTTTCTGTTGAGAGATATAAGGCTAGGTTGGTAGCCAAGGGATTTGCTGAGAATTATGGAATTGATTATCAGTAGATTTTTGCTCCAATTGCTAAGATGAATTCCATTAGAGTCATTCTCTCATTGGTAGCTAATTTGGGGCCTCTTTAGTAGCTTGATGTAAAAAATGCGTTTCTTCATGGTGACTTGGAAGAGGAGGTATATATGGATATTCCTCTTAGATTCCCACTTCCCAATAATAGTGGAAAGGTTTGCAAGCTAAAGAAGTTACTATAGGGTTTGAAATAATGATTGAGAGCCTAGTTTGAGAGATTCACCAAAGTTATGCTTAGATTTAGGTAGCATCAATGTCAAATTGATCACTTTGTTTGTCAAACATTCCTCATTCAATAAGATAACTATGTTGATAGTGTATGTTGATGATATTGTATTGACCAGGCATGATGTCGAGGACAAAATTGAAAAATTTCTTGGCCAAGGAATTTGAAATAAAGGATTTGGGAGATTTCAAGTACTTCTTGGGTATTGGAGTTGCTCAATCTAGACACGGTGTTTTCATTTCTCAACGCAAGTATATACTTGATCTTCTCAAGGAAATTGGGATGTAGACCAGTTGACACTCCTATTGAACAAAATCATAAATTGGGTTGTGAAAGTGATACTCTAGTTGATAGGGGTCATTATCATAGACTTGTGGGTAGACTTATTTACCTTTCATACACTCGCCCTGACTTAGCTTGTGTAGTTAGTGTGGTTAGTTTGTTCACTCATCTCGTGAGGTTCATATACTGATGTATTCAAAGTCAGCACCTGGTAGGGGAATATTGTTTTCTGAACATAATGGCTTGTAGATAGAAGCCTACCTGTTACAGATAGGAGATCTACTTTAGGGTACTGCACTTTTGTAGAGGGTAATCTTGTGACATGGTGTTGCAAGAAGCAATTTGTGGTTGCCAGGTCAAGTGCGAAGGTAAAATTTAGAGTTATGGCTCATGAAATATGTGAATTTCTATGGTTGAAATTACTTTTGAGGGAATTAGGTTTTGATCATAAAGGTCCTATGTAGCTCTACTTTGACAATAAAGGTGCTATCAATAATAATATTGCCTACAATCCAGTTCAACATAATAGAACCAAACATGTGGAAGTTGATAGATACTTCTTCAAAGAAAAGCTGAATGATTGCTTGATTTGTACTCCGTTTGTCAAAACTGGTGATCTAGGAAGCACGGATATGGGATACGGATACGGATACGATACGATACGGCGATACGACAAAATTTAAAAAACTAGGATACGGATACGGCGGGGATACGTTCGTAAAAAATATTATTTTAACAATTTTTAGTAATGCAGTATGCATAAAAATAAAACTTAAAGCAAAAGACAACTTGATAAAGAAGAAAGATTCCTACAAAACTAAGAGTCTTCAAGGTCAATAGTTTCAACTTGTTCCCCTTCATCAGTGAATATCACAAGACCCTCAAACCCATACATTCTGATCCATGCTCTTGATTTGGGTGTCCCTCAGTCTTCTTCTCCAACCTGTCTCTATTGTGACAACCGCAATGCTATTCAAATTGCCCACAATACTGTCTTCCATGAACGGACAAAACACATTGAGATTGATTGTCACTTTATCCGTCAGCATCCATTCGTAAAAAAAATATTTTTATAATTTTAATAATGTAATATGCATGAAAATAAAACTTAAAGTAAATTAATAAATAAAGAGAGGGATTCCTATTAACCTAAAAGTGCTCAAACATTCATAAAACATCCAAAACTAAAAGCAAAAGTAAATGCAAATGCAAATGCAAATTAAACATCATCCTTACATGCCAACACCAAAAAAAGAATGAGAGCAGAGAGAAGAAACGTGAGAGAGTGAGAAAGCGAGAGAGAAGTGAGAGAGACAACAAGGATACATCAATTTGACAAATTCTATTACTTTAACTCTTACTATATTCCTCTTATCGAAGAACTAAACAAAATATTATAAGTAATATGTAACTTCGAGTATCCGATACTTCAAAATTAAGTATCCGATACTTCAAAATTAATAAAAAAGTAATTAAGAAGTATCCGATACTTTTAAGAAGTATCCGATACGTATCCGCAGGTATCCGAGGAGTATCGGTATCCGATAAGTATCCGATACGGATACGTCACCCTTTTTGAAGTATCCGTGCTTCATAGCTGGTGATCCACTTGCAAATATTTTGACTAAAGGTTATTCCTTTTTACTCTCTCTTCTTGGCATTGGCAAGTTGGGTGTTCACAATATCTTTGCCCCAACTTGAGGGGGAGCGTTGGTTATATTAGCTAGAAAGGTAGTCTTGTAATCATCCATTAAGTACAATTATAAGGGATTAAGGGAGAGAACCCTACTATTATTATTCTCTCCTTTTTTTATTTATTTATTTTTTTTATATATGTTGTCGTCTCTTTGCTCGCTAATTCCTCTATTCTTTCTTCTCTTTATCATTCTTTTTTATTTTATTGTATTTTATTTTAATTCTTTTTTAAGTCAACAGTTGATAGCACTGTTATGAACTTAGTAGGAGGGTTCTTTTTACTAACAAAGTACTTGAATCTAATTTTTCCATCTTCCATTCATCTAGGGCAAAATTTATATCTGCGGAAGAAAGTACTGGTGTTACATTCGATGATTTTGCTGGGCAGGAATATATAAAGAGGGAATTGCAAGAGATTGTTCGAATACTAAAGAATGAGGAAGAGTTTCAGAATAAAGGCATCTATTGCCCCAAGGGTGTGCTCCTTCATGGGCCTCCTGGTACTGGTAAAACACTTCTGGCCAAAGCAATTGCTGGTGAAGCTGGACTTCCTTTTTTTGCAGCTAATGGTACTGATTTTGTAGAGGTGAGACCCATTTTCTTACGGCAATTCCAATACAAACTGATATAATTATGAGAACAGGAGACTGTTAAGAAATTGTTACTTCAGAAGAAAATGGTATCTGGGTGTTGCTGTCAATTGCTAAGGCTGCATTTGGATATCCCATTGGTGGTGATTATTTTTATTTATTTGCCACAGCATGAAAAAGCATTCAAGTTAGAGCTCCATCTTTTAGAATGGAGTCAGACATCATTACAAACAGCAGTAAAACAAGGAAATATTTATATTATGAAATTCTACAAAATTATCGCCTATATGTTGAGGGTTATGCACAATAAGAATGGTAAGTTTGACATGCAAAAGTTCTTCATAAAGCACAACGGACTAATTTTGATCTTGCAAAATTTCTGATTCTCTCAGTATATAAACTGAAAATAGTAAGGAGTTCATTCAGAAAAATTGATTGAAAATTACTTCAGAGTCAGATGAGATGTTTTAATGCTATTTGTTTATGTGTTCTCTTTCTCTCTTCTCTCTCTCTCTCTCTCTATATATATATATAATATTAAAAAGGACCAGTCTTTCATGCTATAGATCATGGCCATGCTTAAGATGTTGCATATCTATGTTTCTTTGTAGAAGCCATGAACTGTAGGCAATTAATTTCCATGGTAAGCTTTTGCCAAACTATTTCTCTTCGCATTTATGGCATGATGTTGATACCTATGAAAATACTTAGAGATCTAGCCACCCGCTTTGTTGTCCTCATCTGATAATTGTTTCTTGGTTAAATTAGTGTCTATGATGTGTAGTTGCTGTTTAGCATGGATATTTAGGGCTGCAAATGAACAAAGTTGAGCCTATTGGGCTGTCAAAGGTTGGCTAGACTGAAACATGTACCTTTAAGCTTGGCTTGAGCTTCTCCTGGTAGAGCCTGTTCTTTTGGACTCAACTTGCTAGTGTGGCAACATGCTCATAGCCTGTTTAACTTCCTTTGGCAATTTGTACCAAGCATTTCAAAAACAATTTTGCCCAGAAACTTAAAATAGTCTTGTTGTCTGTGAGTTTAAATTTTGACTATGTAACGACACAAGACAAAATATTAGTATGATGCATTAAAGTGTATTTTGAATTGCATATCATATCGTATTATGTATTGTAAGATATTTTAACATATTTAAAAATAGGTAGAAAATAAATATAGTTGTAGAAAAACCAAATATCTTGTAAGAATAGAACACTAACAATGTATAATTCTTAAAATTGTAAAATTAAGATTCGTTGAATTAAAGATATGCATGCATCATCAATTCATACGTATAACAAAAGATATAACACTTCAGTACATTATTATATGCTCCAATCTAATTTCCCCTCAATTTTTCTCATTTTTAGTAATTTTGTAATATGGTTTTCATATTGTCTCAACTCACTATTTAGATTTTAAAATTTAATATCTAATTGTGAGAATATTAGGTTAGGTTTATATACATGGTAGTGTATATTGTGTATATATATGGCAGTGTTTCCTTTTCCTATATGATAGTGTTAATATTAGGGCAGGTTTATATATATGGTAGTGTATATTAAGTATATACATGGCAGTGTTTCCTTTCCTACATGACAGTGTTTCCTTTTTAGTCTTAGGGTTGGGATTACTAAATAATCAGATGTATTCTTTGTATTATGACACAATTGAATATACAGATTCTTCAGAAACTTACATGGTGTCAGAGCTTCTTTGGTTCTGATCTTTGGTTCGCTCAAGATTACCCATCATTGGATCGTCGGGTTTCAACCTATTGGTTCATCCCATCTATTCGTCGCTTCTGTTCATCGTGACTCATTGAGTTGCTTGATTCATCTAAGTTCATTTGTTCGACCCATCTAGTTGGGTCCTCGGATTCAGTTGGTTCGAGAGACCCATCTAGTTGCTTCGTCTCCTCTGTTCGTGGGCTTCTCATTCATCGTATTTGGTTACTGATTCATCTTCTCCTTTGCCTCGCGACCCATTTGCAAAAAACACTAGCTGGTTGTTCGTGATCTCCTGAGTCGCGATCTCTCTGGTTTCAAAATCGCGACATTAGGTTGTCGCTGGGCTTGTGAAGTTGAGTTGTCGTCATCTCTCAACTCGCGAGGTTTGGTCATCGTGACATCGAGCTGCCTTGTCTCTCTCTGCTTCGACTTTTGGTTCTCTGGCTCGTTCTCCTTCATTCTCTTTGCAAGTCTGCTCTTGAAGATTGGTTGTGAAGTTGGTTCATCGAGGCACTTGGTTTATCGGGTCATTGGATCTCTAGTTTGGCTGTTTTTGGTCTATTTTGAGTTTATTATACTTGAACCCCTTAAAATTTTGGTTTTTACTCTTCGACCCTTGGTTTGGGTCTTTCGGTTCTATTTTGGATTTACTTTACTTGAACAGCTTAAATTTCTAGTTATTACGATGTCTTTAGCTTCTGATGAGTGTGCTTTCTGTCATCATAAAGGCCATTGGAAGTATCACTGTCCCAAGAAGGGACGTCTACCTGCCACGTCTTCTCAGCAGTCTCAAACCCAGTTTTGAGCTCCTCCTTTGAGTACTTTTTGTCCTTTCGTTTGTTCCATTGCATCTGCTCTGATTCTTGAGGTATCTCTTTGTCTATTTAGATTTTTGAGTCTAGTGCTTCTCATCATATGACTCCTTATCTCTCCTTACTTCAAAATTATATTCCCCCTCCCTTTCCTATTACTGTTAATGCTGCTAATGGGTTTAGTATGTTTGTTATATCTGTTGGGTCTATCCTACCGTCTGCTATGTCTATTGTCTCTATTCCATCTGTCCTTTATGTTCCTTAGTTATTTGCCTGTTTATTATCTATCAGTCAGCTTGATGTCTCCGGTTTTGATGTTATCTTTTCTTTTTCTATTTGCTCTGTGTAGGATTGGATGTCCAAGCAGCAGATTGGGACTTTGCTGTAGAGTTGGAGACTTCTATGTGGTGGAGTGCTGCATTTGCCTATGATAACTTCTCTGACTGCCTTTTCATCTTTGCAATTAAATTCTTTGTCCAGTCCTTTCTACTTGTGGCATTCTAGATTAGGGCATTTGTTTGTTGACCGTTTACGGTCTTTAGCTTAGTCAGGTATATTGGGTAAAGTTTCTCCTAGTGAACTTACTGAGTGTCGGGGGTGTAAACTTGCCAAAATGACAATCGTACCTTTTCGTAAAAGTACTTCTATATTTGATACACCGTTTTCTTTAGTTCATACTGATGTTTGGGGCACTTTTCCTGTTTTTACTAAAGGGGGTTGTGCATACTATGTTTCATTTGTTGATGATTGCACCCGTTACGCTTGGGTTTATCTTATGACTCATAAGTCTGACTTCTACCAGATATACCGTACTTTTCAGTCTATGGTTACTACGCAATTTGGGTTTACTATTAAATTGTTGCGGTCTGACTTGGGTGGGGAATACTTTAAAACTAAGTTCTGTGAATATTTGGCTAATTTAGGTACCATTAACCAAACTTCCTGTACTGATACAACTGTCCAAAATGGTTGAGCTGAGCGTAAACACCGTTATCTTCTTGAGACAGCTAGGTCTTTCCTTCTCTCTGCCTTCATTCCGGCTTCGTTTTGGGGCGAGGTAGTTTTTACTGCTGTTTTTCTTCTTAATCGTATGCCTATCCCCTTCTTTTTGGTCGGTCTCCTTATGAGGTTCTGTTTTCTCAACTTCTTATTACTCCCTCCTTTGTGTGTACGGGTTTGCTTGTTTTGTCCTTTTACCCCATAAAGATAGGACTAAATTTAGTGCCCAGTCTGTCCTATGTGTCTTTTTGGGTTACAGTCTAACTTGGAAAGGTTATCGTTGTTATGACCTTGTTTCCCATTGCCTTTATGTCTCCCGCCATGTTGCCTTTCTCGAACGTCTACCTTACTTTCAGCTTCCTCCTCTCACAACCCCAGTTTCCAAAGAAGATTTGGTTCATATCGATCAATTTCCTTCCGAGATCCCTTCTGATGAGTACATCTCTGTTGTTCCCCATGAGCTTATTCCCTCTTCTCCTTGTACTGAGTCCTTCTCTACTGATCTCAGTGAGTCTGTTCCCTCCTCTCTTTCTCCTTCTTCGCTTGCTCCTGCTCCTGCTCCTGCTCCTGCTCCTTCTTCTCTTCCTCCTCCTCCTCCTCCTCCTCCGATGTTAGTTTATTCTCATCGTAAGGCTCTCACTCCATCAGTTGTCTCTGCCCCTACTATTGATCCTTCTACTGCTGACGACTCTGCTCTTACTAACCATAAGTATCCCCTTCCCATTTGTAAACAGGTAGTCAAACTTTTTTATGCTAAAACATGTTTTTCTCCTTCGTACTGTACGTATTTGTCTGCTATGTACTCTTTTCTAGAACTTCAGTCTTACAAGGAGGCCTGCCAGGATCCTCATTGGATTCAAGCTATGGAGGATGAGTTGTCTGCTTTGCAAAAAAACTAGTATTTGAGAGTTGGTTTCTTTGCTTGCTAGTAAGAATCTGGTTGGTTGCAAATGGGTCTACAAAGTTAAGACTCATCTTGATGGTTCTCTTGAGCGCTACCAGGTTTGCCTAGTTGCCAAGGGTTTTTCACAGAAGTATAGTATTGATTATGAGACCTTTGCTCCTGTTGCCAAGATGACTACTTTCCGTACTTTGATATCTGTCGCTGCTGTTCGACATTGGTCTCTTTATCAGATGGATGTTAAGAATGGTTTTCTTAATGGTCGTCTTGCTAAGGAGGTTTACATGTGTCCTCTCCCTGGCTTCATCATTCCTTTGGACAGGTTTGTTATCTTCGGCGTACTCTGTATGGTTTGAAGCAATCTCCTCATGCTTGGTGTAATCACTTTTAGACTGATGTTACTAAGCTTGGTTTTCATCCTTCTGCTCAGGACTTTGCTTTGTTTCTCCTCCACACCTCTGCTAGTTTTGTAGCCTAATTACTATATGTGGATAATATGATTATTACTGGCTCTGATTGTTCTGCTATCTCCGAGGTCAAGTAACATTTCTTCCGTACCTTCAAAATGAAGGATTTGGGCTCATTGCGGTACTTTCTTGATATTGAGGTGGCTTCTTCTCCCAAGGGCTACTTTCTGTCTCAGGCCAAGTATGCTAATGAAGTTATTCACTGCGCTAGTCTTACTGACACTAAGTTTGTTGATAACCCTATTGAACTTAATGTGAAACTTAACACTACTGATGGTGTTCCTCTGCCTAATCCTACTTTATATTAAGAGTTTGTGGGTTGCTTAGTCTATCTGACAGTTACTCGCTCTGATTTTGCCTATGCTGTTCATGTGATTAGTCAGTTCGTTTCTGCTTATTGTTTTACACATTGGGCTGCTTTGATTCAGATTCTTCGTTATCTTTGGGGTACTATATTTCAGGACTTACTGTTGTCTTCTACTTCTTCCTTGGCTTTAGTAGCCTATGCTAATGCTGATTGGGTTGGTGATGTTACAGATCGTAAGTCCACTTTTGGTTTCTGAATGTTTCTTGGCAATTCCTTGATCTCTTGGAAAAGTAAGAAACAAACTATTATTACTCATTCTACTGCCGAAGTTGAGTACCGTGTTATAGCTCATGCTACTGCTAAAGTTGTCTGGCTCTTAATTGCACGATGCGGGAGCGGGGGCGGGAGCGGGAGCGGGAGCGGGGGCAGGAGCGGGAAAGCGTGAGCCGATAGAAGTTTCTTAGGTTAGAGCGCCTCGGGGAGCAGTAATATATATTATATATATATATATATTTTTTTTAATACACATTAGAAGTTTTTTATAAATATTTTTATTTTAATACACATTAATTATTTTATTTATTTATTATATTTTTATTTTTAATTTAAATATATTATAAATAAAAAACCATAATAAAAAAGGAATAATAAATTATGTTAAAATAAACAAAAAAAAAAAATTAGATTTTTTGTTTTATAATTTTTTTATTATATATGATTTTATTTTATAATTTTTTTATTCTATATGTTAATGTTTAGGATATTGAGAATATTAAAAATATAAAAAAATAAATAAAAGATGTAAAACGGTTTTTTTATTACTAAAAATAAAAAAAGGTAAAAAAAATAAAATAAAGAATAAAAGAGAAAGTGAGAGACAGCAACAAAGAGGGAAGAGAGAGGAGTCGAATAGAGGGGAGGAACAGGAGAGACGAACAGAGAGAGAGAGGAGACAAAGACGAAGATGAACTCAGAGAGAGGGAGATACGAAGGACGAAGGAGACGATGACGAAGAGCATCGAATAGAGGGAGAGCGAGAGTCAAAGAAGATAAACAGGTTCGACTTCGACGATGAACACAGAGAGAGAGATAGTCGAACACACAAATTGGAAGAACATACCTTTATCTAGTCTCGATTAGGGCTTCAACAGGTTTTCCCCCTTTCCCTTTCTCTTTCTCTTTCTCTGTCTTCAATGGGTTAGGGTTTCTGTCTGTTTTCTCTTTCTCTGTCTTCAATGGGTCAGGGCTTCTCTCTGTCTAGGTTTCTGAGTTGTTTTATTTCCACCAACGATCCCATCTTGGACAGGATCACGTTTCTCTCTCTACAGAAATGCGATTCTTACACGTTTCTTTCTAAGAAACGGGGAATCTCGTTTCTTATGAAGATTCGTCACCTGGTTGCACGATTCTACAACTAAGGTTTGACTTCGTTGTCTTCTCTCTGACTTCGGCGTCCCTTAGCCTTCTTCGACCTCCCTCGATTGTGATAACCATAGTGCTTTGACCTCTCTCTATTGTGATAACCGTAGTGCTATTCAAATTGCCCATAACACTGTCTTCTATGAGCGAACAAAGCACATTGAGATTGATTGTCACTTTGTCTGTCAACATCTGTAATCTGACTCTATCTCGCTTCCTTTCATCTCTTCAGCTCTGCAACTTGCTGACTTCTTTATCAAGACTCACACCATTGCTCGGTTTCTGTTTCTTCTCGGCAAACTCTACTTGTTTTCTGCTAAAACACCTTGAGTTTGAGCGGGGGTGTGAGAATATTAGGTTAGGTTTATATATATGGTAGTATATATTGTGTATATATATGGCAGTGTTTCTTTTTCCTATATGGCAATGTTAATATTAGGTTAGGTTTATATATATGCCAGTGTATATTGTGTATATATATGCTAGTGTATATTGTGTATATATATGGTAGTGTTTCTTTTTCTTATGTGGCAGTGTTTCATTTTCTTTTTAGTGTTACGATTAGGATTACTATATGTTAGAATTTACCATCACCTACCACACACTTACCATCACCTACCACACACTCACCTACTACACTCACCTACTCCTCACCTACCACCACCTAACCTATATCTATATAATCAATCAATTGTAACAGAACACAATATCAATCAATAAATCAATCAATAATACAATTCTCTATTTCTCTTTATACATTAAATTTCTACACTATATAATCAAATGTATTCTTTGTATTATGACACAATTGAATCTACTGATTCTTCAGAAAACTTACACTAATATCTATTCCTATTGATCATTTGAAATAGTTTGTTCAAACGGTTTCTCAAACATTATGTTGGTATTAACTTTTTTCATTCTATTACTATATTTACACATTTTTAGCGCATACCCATTTCGCTTACCTAAAAGTTTGTTATTGCAGATGTTTGTTGGTGTGGCTGCATCTCGTGTGAAGGACCTTTTTGCTAGTGCCAGATCATTTGCACCTTCTATCATTTTCATTGATGAGATAGATGCTATTGGTAGCAAACGTGGTGGACCTGATATTGGTGGGGTATGATAATAGGCTTCATCTTTCATGCCATTTGCAGACTATATATATGCACAGACATATCTTCTTGAACATGCTCCACAGTAGTTATCTCTTGTTAGGATGTAACCTGTCTTGCAGTCAAAGTTTAATACTTATTCTGCTTCATTAGTCATTTTAAAATTTAAAAAGTAGGCTTGTAATGGGTGGAAGTTTCTGAGAGGCTTGTTTTAATGGTTTGTTCTTTTTTCTGTTACTAGTTTGATTCAACATGCATTGCACCTGGTAGGAAGATGTGAAGTATTGCCACCCGTAGTCGTATTTTTATTTTGTAGTTTTTCTATTCTTGGGTGCTTCATCATGAAGTAACCTCCTTAGCTATTATATGTAGGGTTGTAATCTTTGTTTTGGGGAGGTTTTTGAGAAATTGAAATATCAGATTTTGGTATTTTGTTTTAGCATTGCTTTGCTACTTCCTAGGACTTTGTTTTATGCCCCATAGTTCGTGAGATTTGAGCCTGTTTGCTGGATTTTGCAGAATCCAGTCTTAAAATCTGATTCTTTCATATTTTGGCCTTGATCCAAGTGTTATTTGGGTTCATCTTTGATTGTAGTTGTTGGAGCCTCCAACCAAACTACGTCACTCGTATTTCACATTTTTATTATTTAGTCCAATCCATATGCACTTGATAGTTCCAACTGACTGCCTAAAATCCTTATGAATGCATCTGGTTCTCATAGGGTGGTGCAGAGAGGGAACAAGGCCTGCTTCAGATACTAACCGAGATGGATGGATTCAGAGTGTCAACCTCACAGGTATTCCTATATGAATCTCCTATAGCAATAATCAAATGAATTAAAAAAAAAAATGAGATTAACTGCTTTGCTTCTCAGGTGCTAGTTATTGGTGCAACAAATAGATTGGATATTCTTGATCCTGCCCTGTTGAGGAAAGGCCGTTTTGACAAGATTATAAGGGTTGGTTTGCCTTCGAAGGATGGTAGATTGGCCATATTACAGGTATAGTTCCCTTATTTTGCTTTCTGCAATAGTTTTCTGGTTCATGAAAATTTTGTTTTGGTATCATGATTCCCCTTTGTTTGCAAACTTTGCACTATAGGTTCATGCTAGAAATAAGTTTTTTCGTTCAGAGGAGGAGAAAGAGACATTACTGCGAGAAATTGCAGAGCTTACAGAAGATTTCACTGGAGCCGAATTGCAGAATATACTGTAACCCATGTGTCCATTCTAGTCAATACATGGAGAGATCTAACATTTTCAATCCATGGAGAGATCTAATATTTTCTTATCTGAATTACAGGAATGAAGCTGGAATTTTGACTGCCAGGAAGGATTTAGACTACATAGGAAGAGAAGAACTTCTTGAGGCTTTGAAGAGGGTAGGCTAGAAATCTGAGCAAGATCAAACCTTTTCACATAAATGTGCATGATATGTACCTAATGCATTCTCATATCATTGTTATCTGAATTGCAGCAAAAGGGCACATTTGAAACAGGTCAAGAAGATAGTACAGAAATCCCAGAGGAATTAAAACTGAGATTGGCATACAGAGAAGCAGCTGTTGCTGTTCTTGCATGCTACTTTCCAGATCCCCACCGTCCTTTCATTGAGGTCCATAGATTAATACATTATCTACTATTTTTTTCTGAATCCATGCCACCAGTCTTTCTAGATCTAAAACCATGTTGATGTAAATTTTTGTTTTACCTTCTTCAGACAGATATCAATTCCATCTGTAGCCAGCCAAATATGCGTTATATGGAAACATCGGGAAGGGTTTTTAGAAGGAAAGAAGATTATATGAACTCTATAGTTGGTGCATGTGCTCGTAAGTTATGCAAAATTTTGTCTTAACAAAATGATCCTAAAATTGCTCTTGCAATCACTTTTCATTGTTTTCTATTTCCTGCTTGCCACACTTAATGATTACGTTGTAGGTTTATCCAGTCATTGGTATAACACAAGCCATGAGTTCCTGTTAGACAAGTTTTTACAGAATGTGGTTATAAATTTACTTTAAATCGCCTGTACTTCGTTTTGTAATATGTATTGAAAAAAAGAAGATACTTGTGACATAAAGCTAAACCAGATTGCGAAGTGGGCCATATAAATGAAAGATACCATACCTTATTTTTTAATATAAGTCGAGTGGATTCAATTACATGACAGCAATTTGATGTATCTTAAATTCATGATAAGATTGCCCTTCAACGTACTATGACATTTAGAAGTATTGATATACAGTACCTTATTTGCATCCAACAATATTATTATCAAGTCATCTCTGAAAAAATAAATCAAAAATTGCATCCAACAAATATTGCAAGGGCAGCCATCTGCTTTTCCTACAAACTTCAACTCATTTCAAAACCAATTTCTACCATTACAAAACCTAATTACATGAAATTTATCAATATAAAGCACTTCAAAATCATATGAAACTCTTGAATTTCACGTTCTTTCATAAAAATTCCGATTTTTTTTCTTTCAATATTATGATTTCCCACCAATTCACTCCTTCAACCTAGCCTCTTTTATTTTATTTTTTCTCATTTCAAACCTATTTTAAACATGAGTTCTACTAACCATGAGAATTGCTGCATGAAATATGGATCAAAATTTTACCTTTGAGCCAATTAAAAGTGATTTCTAAGTCAAGAATTCAAGTTTCTATCTTCCTCTTTTCTTCTACCCCTTTTTCTATTCTTTCTTCTTTCTTTTCTCTTTTCTCTTCTCTTCTTCTCTCAAGTTTTTTGCTCTAGCAGATTCTCTTTCTAAAACTCTTATTTATTTATTTATTCATTTTTATTTTGAGAGAGAGACTTGTCTCTCATAGGTGCATATATATCTAAACAAGCAAGAGGTATCCTAACACCTAAGGTGGTGTGTGTGCTTCATCTGTTCTCCCTAATCTTCTGTTAACCTAATTGATCAAGTTTAGTTCTAATTAATCAAGGTTAAGTCGCTAATCTCCATTGTCATAATCAATCCAGCTTAAGTTTAATCCAGGTTAATTTTTTTACACAATTCATGAAGTCAGCTAGTACATTAGTTCAAAGCCATTCAACACCTTGATTAGGATTTTAGAACACATTTGCACACTAAATTCAAAAGAAAGCTATCCCTTAACTCTTTAACACTTATCAAAGAAATTCACATATTCAAAGCTCTCAAAACCATATAGTATTTCTAAGTTTCAATCTATTAACTTCATATCACAAGACTACAAATGTAATGCAAAACAGACAAGTATGAGTAAAAGTATGCTCATGTCATGCCAGAATGTCTTGGGTGTTACAGAAATTGTCCTCAAGTTGAAGGACCAACACAACACAACCGGGATAACAAGACAACCCTCCCGAAGTTGAAGTTTCCTCTTATGCACATCAATGGCAATTTTAGTTACAAATGTGAGGAAATGGCACATTGAACTTGCCTCTTGTAAGCCAGAGTGGCAACAAGATAGAGCACCACACAATGCACACGACATGCCAAAATATAGATTCCGTCCAAAGATCCATCAAGCAGTGCCAAGAACTCTTGCCTCTCCATCGATGGCAAGTTGAAATGATGTCTCAAAAAGTCAGTTTTTACCTTTAGAGGCTCCCATTAGTGGCAACAAAATAGATGGGCTTTGTTTTCAACTAAGGGTGAGAATGTCTTTGAAGTTCCAAAAGTTTTCGAAGAGACCAAAGAGCAACAAAACAAAGCCAACTAATGGTCAAGTTCACAATGTTTCTCTATATTCTCTTTTGTAGCAACAAAAATAGAGGAAGAGTCATTGGTTGTCACTTTTGTTGCCTTTTTCTGCTTCATGGGCAGCAAGGTGTATTGGTGGTCATCCTTGACAATGGTGTACGTATTTCTCTTGCCATCATGTATAGTTTGTCTATCATATTGCCATGGTTGACCAAGTAAAATATGACAAACATCCACAGGCACGATATCATTACAGACATCATCAAAGTACTCACTAATAGAGAAGCTTACCAAACACCTCTTTGATACCTTGATTTTCACTACCTTCATTAAGCCAGGAGTGTTTGTATTATCTTCCGCTATGAGCTTCAACTTGTCAATCACCTCTTGAGAAACCACATTTTCACAACTCCCTCCATCAATGATCATGTTGCAAACTTTTCCGCCCACATTGCAGGTCGTATAGAAAACATTATTTCTCAACCAATCATACTCATTTCTTGGCTTTGGCACAAAGATTCTTCCTCATCATAAGAGCTAGGCCTTCCTTTTCAACTAAATCTCCTCCAATTTTTTTAATTATGGGTTGATCAAAGATAGTCGTATGATCCTCACAATCTTGCCTTATTGATCCTTCCCTAAAAAGTGTCTTTTGGAAATCCAAAGACTTGTGACCCGGTTCTCTGCACTTGAAGCACTTAAAGCTTCCACCTTGAGGCGGATTCCCCATTGGTACGGAGAACTTGAGGCAGAACAACCCTATCCACCTGCTCGATATCCACACTGGAAGACTAGCCTTGGCAAAGCTGGGAGTAGAAGGGCCCGGCCTAAATTCCCCTTGGATGCCACCTTGGAAATCACCTTGATAGTATGTCTGATAAGCACTATGATTATGTTGCTTCTCAACAGGAGGATTTTCCTCGACATCATAACCCAAATTTTGAGCAAAACCCCTCCACGGCCACCCCATCATCCTCAACCTCTATTAGCCATTAAACAAGTCAACAAAGTGCAACAGTGTATTTTTGTCTCCACTTCTGAACTAACCAGAGAATTATGACTTCACTAAGGAAAATTACTGCACTCCTGAACTGAGATCGTCCAGAAGTGTAGGTAACAGTTGAAGCACGAGTAAATCAAGATCAACAAATTGTGACACCAATACACAGAATGAAACCAGCTCCCAATGTCATACACAAGAAATCAAAATTGCAAGGCAGGAATTGAATTGGAATCCTCAGAGCCAGATCAAATCAAGTTGCAAAGTTGAATCTTGCCGAAGTCATCTCCGAAGTCAATATCAAATCACAATGTAAAGATCAAATTGCTAGTCAAAAGTTCGAATTCAATAGAAGTCTCACAATGTATTTCTAATTGCGATACAACTTGAGGAAGGTTTTTAGATATTGAAAAAAAAAAAAAAATGGTTGCAACAACTCTGAGACAAGATTGAAGCTATACGACTTTGAAACAGGTCTTGAAGTCCAAGACAAAGTCAGATTGCAGATCGCAATCAGGTCAAGGTCACAAGAAGTTGATTTTGCAGATCACCTACTCAACTATCAGGTCAAAGAATATTGAAGTTGTATCTGAGGGAGAAGTAGATTTTTAGATCTGAGTCAACAATTGCACATCAAGCGAAGTCACATTCCTTAATTGCAAGCATTGCTAGGGTTTGAGTTGCTGTGTAGAGGCAGAATCAGGGTTGATTTTGACTTATATCTTTGAATTCATAATTGATTCTAACAAGCTAGGGTTTGCCAGTCTGATGATAGAACTAAACCAATCAGGGCTCACATCCAGTAACAGATTTTGTTCTAATCTCCGATTGATAAATCCAAAGTTCCTAATAATTAAGTACAGAACCTAAGCTCTGACACACGCGCGCGCACACAAATAGAAATTGATGGAATCTAGAGAGAGAGAGAGAGAGAAGCTCTAAGACAATCTCAGGAAAATATCTATTACAAATGATTCAAAAGTTTGACACCACATGACCTATTTATGGACAGCCATTCATGTACTAGAGAACTCACGCTCATACAAAGTACTCACATACTAACTAAATTTGATGTAAAATTTTTTTTTTTGTTTATATATATAATTTTTGGTAGGTAGTCATTAGAATAGTAGTTGTAACATGATGGGGTTGGAATTGGGCGGTCAAAGGGCAGATGCATATATTTGGCTCATATATCAGATGCATGCTTGATGCATGTGAGTCATCAAAACTTAGTGTGAGGTGTACAATCTACACATCTATTTACATAAATCACAAATAGTTTGGAAGCAAATTCAATGTAAACCAGGCATCATTAAATTAATGTCAAAAAATTCAATCTTATCAAACTCAAATATATATGATTCTAAATATACGCAAGTGTTAGAATATATGATAATTTATTTTATTGTTATTAATGGTTATTAGTGAGGGTATTTTTATCATTCTAATATAAATAGCAGCTGAGGTACAGGTTATTTTATATAACCGTAATGCCTATTCCTATAATTCTCTCTTCTTTGTGTCTCACCTTCTATATCTCTAATCCTAATTTCATAGCTTTCTACACTTTAACTTGTTATCAGAGCAATCCGATTCTGCTGTAGAAGGTCTAGTATGGCTCTAGATATCATCTATTGTAAGGTTCCACCCAAATATTTTTACAAAATTTAAAAAAAAAAATAAAATTAATAATAACGATATTAATAGAAAATAAAGGTCAAAGGCTTGTCAAGTTGTGGGAGATCCTTTGTGCAATCATGTTTTTTTTTTTAATTTTTATTTATTTATTTATTTATTTTTTAAATGATATTAAAAAGAAGGTTTAATAAAGTTAAATGAATACTAGAAACACAAAAAGAAAAAGATCTAAATGCTTAATTGGGCAAAGGATTCATAAGAAATGCTAGATTCTAGTTGCAGGGATGGAGGAAACAAAAGTACAAGTGATAATATTTGTAGATATATATATATATATAATAACAAAGAAATGACTTAACTATATTCATTTTCTCAGCTATCTATCTCTCCGCTCTACTTTTTCATATTTTCTTTCTAATTTAAGTTTTTTCAACTCTTATATATTTTCTTTCAACAAAAAAGGTAAATAGAAGTAATACTTGTTAGATATTTGTAATAAGCGAAATAACTCAATTGTGTTGAATTTTTCATGGAGTTCATGTATTTTTTGGTGAAAACATTAGAATTTCGGTTTTTCACTATTGTTTTGTCTCAGTTTCATAGAAAACAGATATGTTTCATCCATTTCAGTGGAAATGAGACAAAATTTTGTTCCTTGTCTGGTGTTTACTTGGTTGAGCTTTCAGACATTTGCTTGAAAGCCATTTTTTATGGTTATATTGTTCTCTTAGTCAGCCCTGGAGAACAGTTTTGGCTGAATACATAATATACTAATATTGTTCCTTTCATGTTTTGGTAATTGCTCCATTGAGTCACTGATAGCTTCAATTTGTAGCTAGAGTAATTGAGGAGGAGATGTTTGGCATTGATAATTTGTGTTGGATCTCTTCAAAGGCTACATTAGAAGCTTCGAGACTTGCAGAATTTTTAATTTTGCAGACAGGGATGACAGCATTTGGGAAGGCTTATTATAGAAATCGTGGAGATCTAGTGCCAAATGTGAGTTTGTGGGGATGGGATCTAAGTACCTTAAATCATAATTATTGAGATCCTGCTTCTTACGTAGATCAGTTTTCAACCAAGATTGCATGAACAATCTGAAGCATCTTTTGCAGCTTGCAGCCAAACTTGAAGCTCTCAGAGATGAGTACATGCGCTTTGCAGTGGAGAAGTGTTCAGCTGTACTGAGGGAATATCATTCTGCTGTAGAGACCATCACAGGTTAGTTTAGCTTCCTTTTTTTAAAACTCATTTAGTAATCACTTTCATGAGATTCTCCATTTGAACTATGCAAGCTTACTACTAATCTTGAAATATATGGAGCTTGTGATTGGAACAATGATCTAAGCTTTTGCATTATGAAAGGACTTGTTACTTTAACCGCTTCCAAACTCATTGGGTGCATGCTCTTTTTCCTTTGTTGAGTTTTTCCTTTTTTATTATTATTATTTTTAAACATTTTGTTGCATGTTTTCATTTTGTCCAGACATTCTACTTGAGAATGGAGAGATCAAAGCTGAAGAAATATGGGACATCTACACAAGGGCTCCTCGAATACCTCAGGTAGATTTTTAATTTGTTAACATTTTGATTTTCAAAAAGTGCTGCTTGGCCAAATGGTAAGGCTTGCCGTTAAAATGGGGTGGTTAAGGTTCCTTCAAAGCATTAAAGCATCCGCATCTTTTTGAATGTTAGTTTTACAATTTCTGAGAGGAAGACTAACTCAGGTTCTTAGAACATTGAAATCATAATTTAAAGTGCATTCCAGTGCATCCTATCTTTGGCACCCCGATTATATGTACGTACGATTTTACCCACAAACTTGTTCATCTTTTGGTGATTATGTATTCGATAATACTATGTACTCTTAAAATTAACCATTTTAGCTATGATTCATATTACACTAATTTTGAATCTACATTACACACCCTTTTAGGATAAAATTTTGGATGGACTTTTTTTCTTTTTTTTTTACATAAAAGACCCAAATTTCAAGACTCCGTCTTGGGTCCAAAAAATCTCAGGGCCAGCCCTATGTGTATTGGTTGGTTTTGGTCGGCTTCGGTATACAATATTTCAACCCCACCACTGAGCCAAAACCTAATTATATTTTAAGATGGAAATTGATCAAACCGTTTTATTTGCAAAAACCAACCAAAACTGTAATTTTCAGTTGGTTTTAGTAGGGTCATTCGGTCTGATCAGGTTTTCTTACACTCTTAATTGGAGGCTAGAACTCAAGGTTTGTTCAGGCACTCGCCGAGCTCTCCTTCAGGGATGAGACAAGCTTGAACTAGTCTTAGAGAGATCAAGACCTGATATACCGAAGGTTGTATCATACCTAACTCTGAGTTGTCCAGGCATGCCCAGAAAGGAATATATCATCCTATCCTCTAACCACATCTGATACACTCACTTGAGGTCAACAATAGAAGTTGTCGAGTTGCCTCTGTTTTCTTCCATTTTACCTTGCCAAGGGGGTCACACCATGTGTGCTCAGCTAATATGGCTCGCCACACCCTATATAGAGGGGTCTTCAATGCAATCACAACCATCATCATCTACCTTGCAATCGAGCTCTCTGGTGCTCCATTGACATCCTCTATCTTTACTAAGGCTATCCTTGGCTCTCTTCTCTCCTATTTCTGGTGATCTCCAGCCGTACTAGTGTCTGCCATCTTCTCAGATGGCACTCCTAAACCAGCTCACTTCTCATCATCCACAAGGGGAGAAAAATGAGGATCTACCTAGTTTAGAGTTTCCAGATGGTGAAATAATATTGGGTCTGTTCGGCATGCATATATTTTATTCAAAGTAAAAAAAACTACACCCAGTTTAGTCCTCATTTGATGGGGTTCTGGGAGGGGTGGATTGGGTGCAAATCTAACATTTGGCATAATTTGCATAAAGTGGCTGCTGTTAGGTTTGAACTCACCACCTCAAGGTTAGTAGGCCGAATTGCCAGTCCCCTGTTATATTTGATTCAAAGTATGTGATCTTTTTCTTTCGTTTTTTTCTTCCTTTTTTTGTTGCTTTTGGTGCTCGCTATTCAGCCTGCTGTAAGTCCAGTTGATGAATATGGAGCCTTAATATATGCTGGACGATGGGGAATCCATGGCATTTCACTTCCGGGAAGGGTGACTTTTGCACCTGGAAATGTGGGATTTTCAACTTTTGGTGCTCCTCGTCCGATGGAGGTAATGGAAAAGGACACCTTAAGTCTGCTATATTTTGTTTACATGACAACTGATAGTGGTATTTGTCATTTTCTTCCACAGACCCAAATTATCAGTGATGAAACTTGGAAGCTAATAGATGGAATTTGGGATAAAAGGGTTCGGGAAATTAGAGCTGAAGCCTCTATGGAGATCGCAGAAGAGAAGGAGAAACCACAGCTTTTGTTGGCCAGTCATTTCCTATGACTATGAATGTGATGTTCATCATATGTTTTCTAGTTGGTGGGTGTGCAGATCCTTATCATTTGTGTTACTACGTTAAAAATTAAACAGTGTGTGGTGGGTTTGTCCACCTATGATGGTGAAACACTCGAGCAGGCCTTGATTGACAGTTTTTGTTGTTAAAGGGTGGAATGAAGGTGCTACTCTTCCACAAGACCTGGAGGTACGAAAGGAAAAAATAATAAAAAAAATCCCCACCATCACACCAAGCAAATTGGCTGTCTACATGGTATTGATACGAATTTTTATTTTTATTTTTAATTTTTGGAATGTTTTCTCGAGCCCTAACTAGTTTAATTTTTTTGCAGGATATTTCTTTGGGTTTGCATCATTAGCTATACAAGGAGCTGTAGGACAACATTGTTGCGGTAAAATGAAGATTAGAATTTCTTATGCATCTTTAAGCTGTAGCTTGAAATATATGTTTAGATGTCGCTCCAAACATGTTTGAATTTCCTACCATGGGGGTGTCATTTTTGAGTTGTGAAGCAAAGTTTTCCCGAAATTGTTTTAATAATATTTCAGATGTGTCTTGGAATGGAACTCTTAGCTTTGCCGAGGAGGCTCGGAATTGTTCTACTCTGAAGAGCTGTTTGTATCATGTGGGGGATATTTCACAGGCAGTTGCAGCTCTCTTACACTATTGTAAATCTATTATGATCAATAATGTAATTATTTTTAAATCCAAAGTAAAAATTAGAGATTTAATTCTCTTCACCATGACACAGCTGCTGCTGCTGCTAAGTAGCAGTGGTATGAGTGAGTATATACCACCTGTTGTTGCTGCTCAGATTTATATTAGTTAGGGTTGTGGTGTGTGTCACTAAAGCCCAACTTGGGTTTTTGGAAAGGGGAAAAGCATTGAAGAGTCTGTGTGTCAAATAATTGTCACAACCCCATCCACCCCAAAGTAAGATAGGATAGTGATTGGCCATTAGCCATAAGCTACTAAAGGCCTGACTGTACAATTTTATGGTACTCCTGAAGAGAATTGGGGTAAATCATTATAAATAGCTGAAATCTTTAAAATATTTAATCCCACAACATTCATTCAGAGCAAATGCACAGATAGATGTAATGAACACAAACATTGTTTTATTTATTATTACAATATTCACTTAGTCATAACAGAGTACAACTTAAAACAAAGCTACTGTATATTTCATTTACCAAACTAACTATACACAGAGTTGTTACAAAAATGTTTCTTCTAAAGAGAAGGCAAGACATGTGTCTTTCCGGTCATATACACATAAAAAGGGGGCACAATCTTCACTTGAAATCCAAACTAGTTAATCATTACTGCCATCTCCCACTCCTTGAGCGCTAAGCTGGGCACGGTACCCCCTGTTTCACAGCTCATTTCATTTGCTACCATGTTGGCTTTGCTCATATGATAAGACAAAATGAATTTATGATCCTCTCGGTATTCTATCCAACGTTTTTAGTTCCCATTGTTTGAACAAATACTATAAACTTTTATTATCAATGCAGACCCTTAACTTTTTGTACAAGTAATGTTGCTACGTGTTAGGCACATGAACTATAATCGCTTGCTTCATGTCAAGCGTGGGTTAATCCTTCTCGAGATTCTATTGAAAACTGTAAACCACCACCTTGCTATTTTACATTAGCATACATCTTAATCCTTTTTTAGAAGTATTGCAATACATACTATAATTGATGTCACATTCTAGTATGATTAGGATAGCGGCGCTGGTTAACCTGTTTTTAAGTTCTTGAAATGATCATTCGCAAGCGTCGTCCTATTTGAATTTGAATCTTTTTTGGGTTAAGCATGACATCAGTTTGACTAATTTTGACAAATCTTGTATGGATTTACTATGTAACTCTGCCAATCCAAGGACAAATTTCAGAAGTGGTGTTGGGTGCTTCCATTCTGTGTTAGATAATGTCTCAATGGGACCACATAATTAAATGTGGTGTTATCATTTATAAGAAGCCTACAATTTAAGTGATTCAATTTAGTTAATAGGCTTAAGGGTATATGTGTTATGAACCTAATGTGTAGATACTAGTATAATTTCTATTTTTATTTCTAGTTGTGGAAGTTCAAAAGGAATGAAAACCAACTTTAACCAATAGCGCTGGTTAACCTGTTTTTAAGTTCTTGAAATGATCATTCGCAAGCGTCGTCCTATTTGAATTTGAATCTTTTTTGGGTTAAGCATGACATCAGTTTGACTAATTTTGACAAATCTTGTATGGATTTACTATGTAAGTCTGCCAATCCAAGGACAAATTTCAGAAGTGGTGTTGGGTGCTTCCATTCTGTTGTTACTTCTGCCTCGGCTAAATCTATTGATATTCCCACTTTTAGTACAAAGTGGCCTAGGAACTTAACTTTTTTTTACCAGAATTTGCACTTGTTGGCTTTAGGATAATGCTGTTTCTTTCCTAAAAACTTGAAGAACAACCCATAGATGATGCTCTTGATCCTCCTCTGATTGTAAGTAGCCAAGAATATCGTTGATGAAGACTATTACGAACTGATCTATGTGAGGCGTGAAAATATTGTTCATCCAACTCATGAAGACACTTGGCACATTGGTTAGACCAAACGAGATTACTATGGTTCGAAATGCGGTCTTTAGTATGTCTTCCTTCTGAATATGCAACTGGCGAATAAATCAAACCTAAACTCAATTTTAAAGAAACACCTCAAACCTCTCAATTGGATAGAGTTGCCAGTAATCTATAGCTTAAGCGTCACGTCCTCTTTCTTAGTGACAATTATGGTGCTCCCCATGGTAATGTACTTTGGTGAAATAAACTCCTCCCCTAATAGCTCCTACAATTGCGTGTTTAGTTCTCTAAGTTTGGTCGATGCCATGCGATGTGGTACTGTGGATATTGATGACCTTTTGAACTACAACTCGATGGTGAAGTTCAACTCCCATTTCAGAGGTAATTTTAGTAGTTTGTGAAGAAAAACATTAGTGTACTCGCAGACTAAACAAGGGAGTCCTAGATCCTTATGATCTTCATCTTCTAGAATTAGGCTGACCAACCATCCGGCTAGCTGTCCATGCCATGCCTTCTGATATGTCAGGAAAAAAGGAATTTTGTTTATGCCCCTTAAAATAGGAAATGCATTCCATCAAGTGAAAAGGTTGTCACTATATTATGGTAGCAATCTATAACTGCTCAGTGGACCAATAACCAGTCTATTCTTAGGATCACGTTGGAATTAGACATCTCCATAACTCGCAAGACATGGTTAATCATAAACCAGACGCTTCTAAGTCGTACGATTTACACACAAGATCTATTCAGACTGACTGCCTAGGGGTGGTGCTACACTCATGGTCATCTCTAATCTTCCATTTCTAAGCCCAAGGATAAAAGAATGTATAACACCGAGATCAAGGACTACTAAGTAGCTAGATATATCACAGTAACATCAACTAAGATATGGACTAAAGTAGAAATTTTCATTCCATTCATAGTTAAAAAGGTTCACAAAGTACGGGATGGTTTACAACAATTGAGGAATTAGCAGAAAAGGTTGTCTACGCCTATCTGTACTAACATAGACAATTTAAAATTAGGAAGTTCATACAATGCAAGTTAACAAAGCAAAAAAGTAACCTAGTTTTTCTACCCGTACAACCCTAATTGTGCAACTTAGGATAGTCTCTCCGAACTTTGGACTCTAACTCCCAAGTGGACTTTATCGGCTCCTCATATGAGAAGTTCTAGCTGATGTCCCGACATCCTACGAGGAAAAAGGTAACCAACTCAATCGTGGTAGGGATACTAAAAAAAGATTGGGTTCACTAACCATGAAAAGGAAGGTCCTAACTATTACCCAACGTCTCAAGAGGTTCTAAACCTATGCTCTGATTCCAAATTGTGACGCCTTAAAATTTTAGTACATAAGTGTAAAAAGAACAAACAAACAAATGAAGGAAAAATTTAATAAATAAAATTTTAATCTAATAAATAAATATAATAATTAAGTACAAGTTATTACAAGTAAAATATGCATGAATGGTAGTAATATACAACGTGGATATAGCCTCAAATAAGGAAATAAGCACAATACCTTGTTTGATACAAGTGTTTTATTTTAAGAAAAAAAGCAAATTTATCAATGAAATCCGGTTTTTTTATGAAGGTCCAATGGTTTGAAAATAATAGGAGCTCGCAATTGAAAAACCAAGCCAAAGCGTTCCTATTTTGCCTTCTAGTAAATAACTACCTTGAGATTCACCTATAAAACACAAAAAAACATAAAACCTACAGAATGGGGGACATAGAATAAGGGAAAGAAAGGGACTCGCATCTAAATAAAAACACAATTTATAAAACAAAACCAAAAAGGGCTTAAAGAAGAGGGGAAACTAGCGGGGATTAATTAAAACTACGCGACCAAAATTAGGTGGCTGACCTATAACCAAGACGGCTTGATCGCATATGGCTCATGTATCCATATAAACAAGCAAAAGAATAAATATAAAAAATAAATACTACTAACCTTTCAAAGTATAGAACCATTGTAGGAAATGCCCTCATGATCACTATGGCGAATGCTTTGCTACCCTTAGGTTTTTCTCTTTTAGAAAATAACTAAGAAACCTCATTCCCTCTCTCTCTCAGAAACCCTAGCTATTCTTTCTTTCTTTGCTCTTTAGGAGGGAGAGGGCGGTGCTTTTAACCTTCCTCTCTCCTCCGTTTCTTTTCCTATGGTTTTTATCACCATACTAACCACTATTGCTCCTCTTGTCTCTATCATTGACTTGCCATTGAGGAAGCTTTCAAATCTCGACTCAGATCTAATTCATGACCAAGATTCGATGTTGTTAAACACGTTATACGCTAGGTAACCACCTCGGATCCAGAATGTTTTATTTTATAATGTAGAGATAGGGATTAAGGTACCAAAGCTACCAATTGCGACGATGAATGGATCGTGAATGTGATTGGTTTTGTTTGTTTGGTGGTAATCATTTCTTTTTTTTTTTTTTTTTTTTTTTGTTTTTTTTGATGTTGCAATAATAATCTCTTTATGTAGAGGTTTCCTATTTTCATAGAGGTTTTCTTCCTCCCTACATGGAGGTTTGTTTTTTCTCTATGTGGAGACTCATATCCTCTCAACTTAGAGGTTCTCTTTATCTCTTTTGAGATTTATTTTGTACTTCGATGTACTTTATTGGACGAATTATTGTCGAATGTGCAATATATTAAGCCTTATGCTTTCCCATCAAAAAAATAAATAAAAAATAACTCCTGTGGGTGTTAATTTTTACCACGTAACCAAACGGGGAACTTAGCTGGAGAGCATTGGCAGAATAGATTAAGCCCGAACAACCTGTTACAAAAAGATAAGAATCCGGCGGTGGTTCGTCCACCTGGGGCACTCCGACGCTTAAGTTATTAATCCCAATATCTCTCAAAGATAGCAAATTGTGCTTAACTCACAATATAGAACTTACTGCTCACAGTATTTCACACATACCTGAGACCTACGAGGGTGACCTGCTTTTATAGCCAGCATTGACCTGATCCCTGTAGAAGCCTCATTTCAGTGGACTCAGGCTCAATGCTCATCCTGAACTCTCAGCTAAATAGGGATAAACTCCCTAAGAGCTTTATCTTTATCCAGACTGAGATCCTCCCCTGTTCTAGGACTCTTGTCCCTTATTCGCTCATCTCGGATTCCGACATCTCCGCAGATAACCTTGGCCTTACCGAGATCACCTCGGCATCAGGAATAGGCCACGTGGCACCTCAGTTAACTCTTCAGCGTCACCTTGGTCACGTGCTGTCATTCACAAAATATGTCCCCATAGCTGCCCCCTAGGTTCTATTACCTCGGCAATCTGAGGTGATGAAACCTACATCGCTTGTTCATATACTATGTTGGCTAAAATTTATTCCTTCTCCACGACCAAGATCATTACTCGTCGGCTTCAAATATCCAGCACTCAATTGTCCATTTTTATTAGGGATCAAGAACCAAGAACCAAGTTATTTGAGTATCTTAACCGAGATCGTTCTTCTAGCCGAGGTTTTTTGCTTCATTAATCAAGAATTCCAAGAGTTTTGTTTGCGCATGAGCTATCACGCACTGTCTTCCCAACCGTTTCCTACACGCGTCGTTTCCTCACTGGATCGTAGATGACACGCGCTATTAGGTCTCGTCGCCTTTGCGCACGCCGCCTGACAAGCATGTTGTCCAAGGCTACTTCATTATATTTTGCTGCCTTTTTTCATTATTGACAAAATTTTTCCTTCTCTCTTCGTCTTTTCACTTTTGTAATTCACAATTTCCCTTGTCTCTCAGACTCTCTCTCTCTCTCTCTCTCTCTCTCTCTCTCTCTCTCTCTTTCTCTCTCTCTCTCTCTCTCTAATATTTCTCTTCCAAACCTCCATTTTCAAGTTCTTAAGCTCTGCAATCACTCCATCCACTGCTTTCGGCAAAGTATTCATTACTCTGCTTTCACGATTGTCATCATTTGACTCCGACAAGCATCTCTCCGGCATCATTTCCTCAGTTTTACTTGGTAAGTCTCCGATTTTTTCTTTTCAATTTCAGTCTCTAACTGTTCTTGAATATGTTATTGTTATGCAACTTCTTGTATGTCTGTTAAAATGCCTCACATGTTGCCATTAAATCCACTTTCTGTTTTTCGTTTATTCTCATGTTCTGGTCATCATGAGTCACTTCTGGTTTCTTGAATCTTCACTATGCTTTGAAGTTCATCATTTAGAATGTCAAACGTGTTTGTTTGTGATTTGTGTTGTTCTCTCTATATCTGTGTCTATATATACTGTTCGTGGTTCTTGCACAGACATATGCACTGTTCATGTATTTGATGCTTTAACAGTTTGTCACTGCTCTTGACTTTTGCACATTCGCACACACCTACTCAGTGTTCTTGAATCTTCATTGCTTTCTTGAGTCTGAATCATGTTCTTTTCTATTTCTATTTGACTTGTTTTCCAGATTCTTGCCTTCGATTCTTGTTTCTGTAGTTCTAGGTTTGGGGTTTGCTTTAGAACCCACACACTTAGGAAAAACTGAAAGAAGTTTTCCCTTAGATCTTCAGAATCCTTAACCCTTTGTCTTTAGGATTTAGCCGAGGTCTTTAACCCCTTGTGTAGACACCCTATTTTTGACCGACCTTAAGACTCAGACGTCACCGATGGAGCACTTGGTGATGTTGCATAATGTGCTTGTTCAGAAGTTTCAGAGTCGCGGCTGTGAGCCCTGCCTCCGGGCTTCCGAACCCTTTTCTGTGCCTTGTCTCGGTTTGCGAACCAGACTCGGTTTTCTCTGTTTCTTTTCCTAAAGGGAGGGAGAGGTCCTGTAGACCATCTCTCAATGTCCGTAGGCTACATTTTGTGGCCGTAGGCCATTTTACCCATTTCGGAGCCCGGTTCCCGGTTTTCGGAGCCGTCAGGCCGTGTGCCTCGGTTCGGGACCACCTAACCATCTCCTATTGCTCTGATTTTTGGCATACATCCTATTTCATCCATTTTGAGGAACACTGGGGGCTGAGAAGCCCACTTCGAGGTCAGATACAATTTTCGGTGCTTAGCAGCCCATTTCCGGGACCCCGAACTGCGTGTTTTGGCTCCGGAACATTCGTTTTGCAACGGTTTTCGCTCATTTTTGGCAGGTACCTCTGTTTTATCACAGGGAAGGTCACTGAAGGGTGGGAGGCCAGCAATTGTTGCAGCAATTTAAGCAAGTAATTGTGCATGATTCATTAAGTTTTAAAAGCAGCAGCCAAACAGGGGGGAAAACAGGGTTTACCGATCCATATTGCATGGCATGCAACTGAATGAGACCACAAGGTTCAAATCTACTAGGGAGCAACATAAAATCAGACCCAGCAATAATCATGTGGGCCAAGGGTACGTTGAATTTTGCCACTCTTCTGGCCTTGTCGGGATATATTATCTCGAGCTGTTCTAGCTGCTTCTCCATGTATTTCTTGCCAGTGCCCTAATAGAAAGAGCAAATCCATTTCACAATTCATACCAGAAAAAAGCGACAAATAAAAGTTCTCTTTTAAAAAAAAAGTTACCTAAGAAAAAAAAAACACTAAACTTACAAGAACTACAATCTGAACATTCTCTCTAATGAATTTAGGAATGGCAGCCGCTAGGATATCCGAGCCTTTCTGCTCTTCTAGTCTACCAATGAATCCGATCAAGGGGATGTTTGCGTCCACAGGCAACCCAACTTCTGCTTGAAGTGCTTCCTTCAAAAGACGCTTTGCAGCCATGACCTAAAAAAATCACAATTGTAATATGCTAAGGCTTTTTAAAGCCACAAAAATATTGAGAGATTAATGGAAATTTAAGACAGTAGAAAAAGAATTAGAAGAATCTTACAGTTGTGGCATTATATTTGACATCAATGTATTTATCTGTAGATGGATTCCACTCCTGGACATCCATGCCATTGACAATACCAGTTATACCGGTCTTACGAATGATGTTATCCAATTCCACACCCTTATCTATACCAGAAACAAGTTCCTGGGCATAGTATGGGCTCACTGTTACGACCCTGTCTGATTCTAATATTCCACCCTTCATCCAGTTAATTTTCCTTCCCTTGGCAGGCTTGTCATACCTGCAACATGCAAAAACTTGTCATAACTTGACAAGAGAAAAAAATTTCTCAAACCATAGCAGTTGGAAAATTCCATCCGATGTTAAGACATCTCCGGTAATAGCAATTTCAAATACTCAAATCTGCATACATACCCATCAATAAAATCAAAAGAGCCCTTAAATTGTTCCGGAAGATTGAGAAGAGAGAAGTCTGCAAAAGGAAATCTCCCTTGGTAGGCAATGTTATGGATGCAGAAAACAACCTGCCATCATTTGTCAGTACTAGTGTTAAATCCCAACAAATAGTCCTTGTCATTTGGCTAAAATTCTTCTGTTTTAATTTTATTCTTTGCCTGAAATTCTTAACGACGTAATTGAGCAATCTTACTCTGGCATTCTTGTAGATCCCCATAGGTTTGTACTTGGTCTTCAGATAACATGGAAGAAGAGCAGTGTGCCAATCATTGGCAATGAAGACAACATCCTCCCCTGCATTTGTACGAGACAGATATGTTACACCATTTATAATAGAATGAAAAATAAATAGATAGATAAAGGTACAAACTTTGAGAATGGAACATACCATAAGGTCCAGAGAAATATTTATTGTTGTTTAGATTCAAAATCCTTGGTGCCTCCAAAGCAGCCTGAGTTCAAAGTATGGATTCCAGTTTCCATTCAGGAATAAAATGAAGAATCTTGCAACTTTCTGTTACAATGCCAAGGTATAAACACGGAGGGCAATAGAGGATTTCATATTTCTTATTTTTTTATAAATACTGAATGCAATGGGGGATAAAGCCTCTGGTAATATTGACTGCAGCAAGGATAGCCTGGAAGCCAACTTCAGAGTTAGGGTAAACAAGCACATGCTACAAATTTCCTTCATGTTTTCTATTTGCCAGTGACATCTGCTTATACTTCAACTTACCTTATAAGAGATGCTCAATCACCTCTCTAATAATCAATTAGGCATAAAACAAAAATTATAATGGCTTATTTATTAAATTTTAACCTTCAATTATCTTTTTAGGATTTGGATGCATTTGGATTTCTCGAGGTTGGAGCTTTAGCATTGAATGAAGAAATTTCAAACAAAAGGATTGGAACTTGCTGATAGGATCTATCAGAGTAGCTGCCAAATGACGAGTAAGAACCTTCTAGAAAAGAAAAATTAGCATATTTAAAATTGGTCAATTATTGTCCTGATCAAACTAGGAAGTTTATTTGAGTTGGAGTTACGACGCAAACTGAAAAAGTTTGTTTTAGTTACAAGGAGACATTAACTTTGCAACATCATTAATCCCATAGCTCTTTCCATTCTTTGGAGCTCCAAAGAGCTAGCTGGTTGGGCTTTTTAACAATCTTCCAATGTTATTCTTGTTTCTTTCATCTTTTCTTTTCTTTGAAACATGACAATGACCAAACAAACATAATAAGAAGTTTAGTGTGTAAAGGAGTCAATCCTATCTCTCAATGCAAATGTTTCTAGCTTCTAACTATAGAGTTCCCACAAAGAAATCCCAATATAGTAGCAAAGAAAAGCAAATCATTAGGTACTATACCTTTGGTTTTTGAGTACTGCTCAATGACATCATCAACCAGGATATCAAAGCTTGGAATATATCCATGAAGACCTTCTGAAAGACCAAATCCTGGATAATCCATCGCAAAAACTCCATATCCAGAAAATACTAACTTCCTAGCAATTCCTGTAAACAATTCCATAAAACAGTTACATTCCATTTGTCTCACAATATGAATCTACTTTCTAATATATGTTACGAAGTGCATGCCTTCAGCCAAGAATGTGCAAGTATCTCCGTAACCATGACAGTAATAAATAATTGCTTTGGGGGAGCAGGTTTTTGGAAGCCAACTTTTTGTGAAAATTTCCACGCCTCTAGAGTTCACTTCATATGACTGCACCATAGAATCTCAAATGATCATCACTGCATAAATATTCATGTATATAAACTCAAAAAGGACTCAGTTTCAGTTGCCCTTCTGTATAGATTTATGATTAACCAAGAAAGCTCTATGGGTTACTATAGAAGCAAAACAAGTCAAAGTTAAAAGTCATCCAAACATAATTCCAGAAACAATATAACTAAAACTCATCGATGTTTTTAAATATCTAATACTGTGAATAAAGAATTAAAAACTTTGTTAGAAGGAAAGTCTATTCACCATCAAAATGAAAATTAGGCTTCTGGGATTTACCGGATGTACAGTAGCCAATGAAGGCCGCACATTCAAATGATTTTCACAAGCTGTTGTGCCGAAATTTCTTTCTTATTTAATTTTATTTATTTATTTTTTTGGCTCCAAGTAGTTAAGCTATGATGCACAGACACGGATATGAACATGGGACACGGTGATTTCAAAAAAAAGGGAATACAGATACAGCGGGAGACACTGCAATTTTTTTTTAAAATTTATTTTTTACATATATTTGCTATGTAGATCAATATTATGTTACCAAACAATCAAAATTAATAGAAACTAACATCAATTCAATATATAAATAGCTAAAGTAGAAATTTTCAGATTAATCATAAACCAGAGGCTTCTAAGTTGCACGACTTACACACAAGATCTATTCAGATTGACTGCCTAAGGGTGGTGCTACACTCATGGTCATCTCTAATCTTCCATTTCTAAGCCCAAGGATAAAAGAATGTGAAACACCGAGATCAAGGACTACTAAGTAGCTAGATATATCACAGTAGCATCAACTAAGATATGGACTAAAGTAGAAATTTTCATTCCATAGTTTAAAAGGTTCACAAAGTACGGGACGGTTTACAAGAATTGAGGAATTAGAGAAAAGGTCGTCTACGCCTATCTGTACTAACATAGACAATTTAAAATTAGCAGTTCATACAATGCAACTTAACAAAGTAAAGAAGCAACCTAGTTTTTCTACCCGTACAGCCCTAATTGAACAACTTAGGATAGTCTCTCCAAACTTTGGACTCTAACTCAAGTGGACTTTATCGGCTCCTTATCATAGGCATGAGAAGTTCTAGCTGATGTCCCGACATCCTACAAGGGAAAAGGTAACCAACTCAATTGTGGTAGGGGTACTACAAAAAGATTGGGTTCACTAACCATGAAAATGATGGTCCTAACTATTACCCAATGTCTCAAGAGGTTCTAAACCTATGCTTTGATTCCAAATAGTGACGCCCTAAAATTTTAAAACATCAAGTGTAAAAAAAAACAGACAGATGAAGGAAAATTTTAATCTAATAAATAAATATAATAATTAAGTACAAGTTATTACAAGTAAAATATGCATGAATGCTACCAAAATTAGGTGGCTAACCTATAACCAAGACGGCTTGATCGCATATGGGTCATGTATCCATATAAACAAGCAAAAGAATAAATATAAAAAATAAATACTACTAGCCTTTCAAAGTATAGAAACATTGTAGGAAATGCCCTCATGATCACTATGGCGAATGCTTTGCTACCCTCAGGTTTTTCTCTTTTAAAAAATAACTAAGAAACCTCATTCCCTCTCTCTCTCTCACAAACCCTAACTATTCTTTCTTTCTTTGCTCTTTAGGAGGGAGAGGACGGTGCTTTTAACCTTCCTCTCGCCTCTGTTTCTTTTCCTATGGTTTTTATCACCATACTAACCACTATTGCTCCTCTTGTCTCTATCATTGACTTGCCATTGAGGAAGCTTTCAAATCTTGACTCAGATCTAATTCATGACCAAGATTCGATGTTGTTAAACGCGTTGTTATACGCTAAGTAACCACCTCAAATCCAGAATGTTTTATTTTATAATGTAGAGACAGGGATTAAGGTACCAGAGCTACTGGTTGCGACAATGAATGGATCGTGAATGTGATTGGTATTGTTTGTTTGGTGGTAATCATTTTTTTTTTGTTTTTTTTGATGTTGCAATAATAATCTCTCTCCATGTAGAGGTTTCCTATTTTCATGGAGGTTTTCTTCCTCCCTACATGGAGGTTTGTTTTTTCTCTATGTGGAGACTCATATCCTCTCAGCTTAGAGGTTCTCTTTATCCCTTTTGAGATTTATTTTGTACTTCGATGTCCTTTATTGGATGAATTATTGTCGAATGTGCAATATATTAAGCCTTATGCTTTCCTATCAAAAAAATAAATAAAAAATAACTCCTGTGGGTGTTAATTTTTTACCACACAACCAAACGGGGAATTCAGCTGGAGAGCACTAGCAGAATAGATTAAGCCCGAACAACCTGTCACAGAAAGATAAGAATCCGGCGGTGATTCGTCCACCCGGGGGCACTCCGACGCTTAAGTTAGTAATCCAAATATCTCTCAAAGATAACAAATTGTGCTTAACTCACAATATAGAACTTACTGTTCACAGTATTTCACACATACCTGAGACCTACGAGGGTGCCCTACTTTTATAGCCAGCATTGACCTGATCCCTGTAGAAGCCTCATTTCAGTGGACTCAGGCTCAATGCTCATCCTAGACTCTCAACTAGATAGGGATAAACTTCCTAAGAGCTTTATCTTTATCCAGACTGAGATCCTCTCCTGTTCTAGGACTCTTGTCCCTTATTCGCTTATCTCGGATTCCGACATCTCCGCAGATAACCTTGGCCTTACCGAGATCACCTCGGCATCAGGACTAGGCCACGTGGCACCTCGACTGACTCTTCAGCGTCACCTTGGCCATGTGCTTTCATTCACAAAATATGTCCCCATAGTTGCCCCCTAGGTTCTATTACCTCGGCAATCTGAGGTGATGGAACCTATATCGCTTGTTCATATACTATGTTGGCTAAAATTTATTCCTTCTCCACGATCAAGATCATTACTTGTCGGCTTCAAATATCCAGCACTCAATTGTCCATTTTTATTAGGGATCAAGAACCAAGAACCAAGTTATTTGAGTATCTTAACCGAGATCGTTCTTCTAGTCGACGTTTTTTGCTTCATTAATCAAGAATTCCAAGAGTTTTGTCTGCGCATGAGCTATCACGTACTGTCTTCCCAACCGTTTCCTACACACGTCGTTTCCTCACTGGATCGTAGATGACACGCGCTATCAGGTCGCGTCGCCTTTGCACACGCCGCCTGACAAGCATGTCGTCCAAGGCTACTTCATTATATTTTGCCGTCTTTTTTCATTTTTGACAAAAATTTTCCTTCTCTCTCCGTCTTTTCACTTTTGTAATTCACAATTTCCCTCGTCTCTTAGACTCTCTCTCTCTCTCTCTCTCTAACATTTCTCTTTCAAACCTCCATTTTCAAGTTCTCAAGCTTTGCAATCACTCCATCCACTGCTTTCGGCAAAGTATTCATTACTCTGCTTTCACAATTGTCATCATTTGACTCCGACGAGCATCTCTCCATCATCATTTCCTCAGTTTTACTTGGTAAGTTTCCGATTTCTTCTTTTCAATTTTGGTCTCTAACTGTTCTTGAATATGATATTGTTATGCAACTTCTTGTATGTCTGTTAAAATGCCTCAAATGTTGCCATTAAATCCACTTTCTATTTTTCGTTTATTCTCATGTTCTGGTCATCATGAGTCACTTCTGGTTTCTTGAATCTTCACTGTGCTTTGAAGTTCATCATTTAGAATGTCAAACGTGCTTGTTTGCGATTTGTGTTGTTCTCTCTATCTCTGTGTCTATATATACTGTTCGTGGTTCTTGCACACACATATGCACTGTTCATGTGTTTGATGCTTTAACAGTTTGTCACTGCTTTTGACTTTTGCACATTCGTACACACCTACTTAGTGTTCTTGAATCTTCATTGCTTTCTTGAGTCTGAATCATGTTCTTTTCTGTTTCTCTTTGACTTGTTTTCCAGATTCTTGCCTTCGATTCTTGTTTCTGTAGTTCTAGGTTTGGGGTTTGCTTTAGAACCCACACACTTAGGAAAAACTGAAAGAAGTTTTCCCTTAGATCTTTAGAATCCTTAACCCTTTGTCTTTAGGATTTAGCCGAGGTCTTTAACCCCTTGTCAAGCTGTTTTATCAAAATTATGTTTACTGAACCCACTCTAGCCGAGATAATGGGCATGTTTAGGTGGAGAGTAGACACCCCTTCCAAACTTGAGTACTTTAGGCAAGAATTTTCCATTCTAGCCGACGTTCAACTCCGGCTGGCTGGAAAGGATGACTCTATCATGCCTGGGACGGACTACATACCCGTTTCCATAGTCTCCATAGTTGAGGGCAAAGTCAGGTTTCCTCTAGACATTCTTTTTTAGGGAAGTCCTCCATTACTATAAGCTTAACCCCATGCAACTGGTCATAAACTCCTTTAGAATCATCAACGGCATTGCCGAGTTGGCACGCCGACAGAATGCTAGAATCACACTATTCGACATCTAATACTGCTACATTATGTGTGGCCTAAAAATCAACTCCGGCTATACATACTACCTCAAGCCGAGATCGACACAGTACAAGTTGATAGCTGACATTCCAGATATCAATAAGGGCGCGACCAATGACTACCTGATTGTCTCGGGCAATTGGGAGTTTGTGCCTAATGATGAGCTCTATCTTTACCCACTGGTCTGAGAAGTTTTTAGGGACGACAAGGGTAAGGACGTAGTTCCTCCCACCCTAAAGTCCCATTTTTTATTACTTTATTTAGCTATCTTTCTGTTTTGTATATTCTAACATTCTCTCTTTATCCTTGTAGCTATCCCTCAGCCAGAGAAGAACTTTCACCAATCCTACGTGCCAAGCAAAGACCTGATTCGACTTCTCCGCCTTTTTATCGACGATTGCAAGGCCCCACTCCTTCTCAATTACATATTAACATATCAGAGCCCTATGCCCAACGTTCCTCAAAAAAGAAAATCTCCCCCTTCTGCCATAACTCCCCTTGCTGCTTCATCACCTAGGCCAGATCAGGCCTTCACATCCAATCCTGCAGACCAACCATCCACTTCTACCCCCAGCTAATTCCTCCATCCCAACACTAACGCCGTCGCCAAGCTCCTGCAAACGCTCCCGCCTACAGGACTCGAAGCAGGAGACGCCGAGGTCTTGAGTTTTCAAAGTCCGACCCTTTCAATCCGCCAATTGCTCTTCCAGCAATTCGCTTCGGCACCAAGGTTACTATCACAGCGACAGCCGACGAGATGGGACGCAAATCAGCCATCTTTGAAGATCTTCTTGCCAACCTTCCTGGGGCTGTGACTATCCAGTCCTCTTCTTTCCCATCGTAGTCCAAACCAAAGCCTAAGAGAGTGAAGAAGGCTAAGGCTACAGTGACTCAGGTTGATTTTGAGGACACTGTGCCAATCTTAAAGCTGGCCGAGATCGGAAAGAATACATCCACTGCTGAGAAGAGGCCAGTCGAGGCCACAACACCCGATGTCTCCCCAACAAAAACTGAGATCAGATCGCTCCAAATGTAGCAGCAGCTTTCCTCGTAATATGATCTGGGTGCCCCGAAGTCATGGTAGAGGGCTGACCTTTGACAGCCGGCGACAGCGCGATCCAGGACGTTGAGGTCGGTGCCGCCCTATTAACGGCCGTGCTCCTACCCGAAGACATGAATCACATGGCCGACCTGCATGAGTATGAGAACTTCGACCTGATGATGCAACACTCCGTATTGGTAAGTCTCTTCCTTTACCATTTTAAGGCTTTTCAATACTTAGTCAAATTTCACTAATCGATTTCTCTTTTTGCAGGCCATCCAGCATGCGCATTCATACGCAGTTAAGATCGAGATGACGAGAAAGGAGTTGGTTAAGAAAACCCAAGAGGTTGCCAAGTTCCTGTCCTCGTTGAACCACGCCGAGGCCAACAACAAAAGCCTGCTAGATCAAGCCAAGGCTGTGCAAGACCAAGCTGAGGCCACTGCCGAAGCCGCCAAGGTCAATGTTGAAGCCGCCGAGGCTGACGTTGAGGCTACCAAGGTCAAGGCAGCTGAGTTGGAGGCTAAGCTGAAGGAGGCCGTTGAATCCAAAGATGTCGAGGTAAAAGCAGCCGACGAGAAGACTTTCGAGGAAGGCCAGGCCGTCGTTCGAGATCAGTATAAATAACAAGTCAATCAGGCTTGTAACTGAGGTTATTACTTCGGCTGTATGGCGGCGCTTAATCAACTATCTATCCCAATGGACTCACCCCTTCGAAATATCAGCCAACTCCAAGTGAGGCCTCCCAAGAAATTTGTTGATGAAGCCGACAAGGATGATGTCGATGCTGATGACGCTGATGATGGAGAGAATGCTGCTAATGGGGCCAAGTCCTTAACTTTGAATGATCAAGTTTTGGACTTGACTCAAGACAAGGAGGAGGATGAGGTTCTCAAGAGCTCTTCTCCAAAAAAGACATCCTCTGAGGCCGAGGTCCAGGCGGCTGAGAAGAGTTTAGATTAGACCCTACTTGAGATAGACGTCAAGATCGTGGCAGAAAAGGAAGCAACACTGCCAATCGAGGCTGACACATCGCCAACAGCTGAAGTTGAGCAGTCAGAGACCCATGCCAATGTCCCCGACAGTTAGGAATTTTCTTATTTGTATTTTTTCCTTTCACTTGTAACTGTTTGAACAGTTTTTAAGTTTCACTTTGGCCGACATGCCCTTTTTGTCTTTGTAAATGAACAAGTTCTCTTTGAATACAAGCATGCCTTCTTTCTTCCTTCCTAAGTGTTGAATGCTTTGCTTCATGTATGCTCACTGCTTTCCTTTTATGCACGTTTGCATACTTAGAATTTTTTTTTGCATTTCTTCAAAGTACACCTTGACTGTGTAATCGCTTCGGGGCAGAGTACCTCGGATATAAACCTTGAATGTTTATCTCGGCCAATAATAAGAATAACACAAAAAATATCTTGAAATACTTTTACAAGTGCTATTTTTTAAACTTATTCAGTCAAGTAGTGCTTCTTTACTTCCACTTGTTGTCTTCTACTAAGACTTCAACCTTTCCATCCTTCCAAGCTTGACAGGCTAGTTGGTTTTCTCAGGGAGTAAATACCTCGGATATCCCTTTCACGATTACTTCGGCTAACTTATAAATTTTTTTTTCTGAAATTTTAACAAGTGTCAAGCCCACTCTTTATTACCTCAACCAACTTCAACTTTGTAAATTGTTCTGAAATTTCAACAAGTGTCAAGCTCTCAAGCTTATTTACTCTAATGTGAACCTAAGTTCCACTTAAGTTCACGTTAAGCATCTATGGCCTTTCGCCGAAGTCAGAGTCAAACAAAGACTAACTGAGGTATTTGTAACAACCCTTATCCGTAATTAGCCACTAATCCGTATTTAATGATGTTAATGAGAGGATTAAAATAAATTATGTGTTTATTCTGCACTTTGTATGATTTTGGCCTTCTATCTGTTACTTATAGAAATATTTGTTTGGAATTCCACTTTAATTTGTAAATTGAAAGCCATATTGGCATCCAAAATCGAAATTGATTACGTCAATATGTTATTTGAAATTTTTAGAACCATATGGAAAATTTTATTAAAAATTGATTCAGTCTGATTAATTAAGTCATGTTTGGTTAGTCTAATATTCTAGTTAATGTGTTTTAGCACCATAATATATATATAAGAGCCTTAACTCATTTTGAGCTCATTTCTTTCATCTCCCTTAGTGCACAAATCTGGTGAAACATTTTAGAGAGAGAGGGAGCACAATTCTAGAGAGAGATAAGAAGAGATTAAGGAGAAATTGAAGGCTATAGCTTGAATTGATCAAAGATTGTGCTAGAACAAGAGTAATTCAAGACTTTAGGTAAGATTACAACCTCTAGATTGTGCAACTAAGTCATTTAACATGAAATTTCTTCAAGATTATGAGTTGATGTGTATATTGAGCTTAGAATAAAGATTTGAGTTGCAATTCATGCATGTATGTATATTTTCTCACAAATTGAGCATGAACTCCAAGAATTCTCTCATGCATGTTTGAAATTCATCTTAATTTGGGAAAATCATCAAGTTTCAAGTTGTTTTGTGGTGTTTGATCATGTTTTGAGAAGTTTGATACAAGAAGAATTCATGTATGTTGTGTTCATAAACATTCCTGAAGTTTAAGTTAAAATTGGGAACTTTTGGCAAACCCTTGGGCCATGATTTTATGAAATAATCCGTAATTCTTCATGTTTTACAAGTTTACTATGTTATCTCAAGTTTTGGGGCCCAAGAGATGTGTTTTGAAGGATGGAATTCGAGTTTTGAGCTTGAAGGTGCAATCTGGAAATTCTAGAATTTGTATCTACGCTCGAGCGTGGGAGTTCACGCTCGAGCGACAACTCTAAGTGCGTGCACTCCTCTCGAGCGACCAAAAGTTTGCTTGAGTGTGAATTGCAAGCTCCCAGAAGTTTCATGTCTTTTACAGATTGCTCGAGCGAAAGAATGTGCGCTCGAGCG